TCAGTGTTTCTCAACCTCGGCCATTTTAAGATGTGTGGACTTCAACTCCCAGAATTCCCCAGCCAGCCATGTTGAGGTTGAGAAACACTGATTTAGATCAACTTGCCCAACCTAACATTCTCTAGATACAGATGGTCCTCGACTTACAGTTCATTTAGTGACCATTCAAAGTTGTAACAGCACGGAAAATTGTGACCTAGGGCCATTTTTCACACTTACGACTGTTGCAGCATCTCCATTGTCATGCGATCAAAATTCACTCTGGGCAACTGACTCATATTTATGACAGTTGCAGTATCCTGGGGTCATGCGATCACTTTTTGTGACCTTCTGGCAAGCAATGGGGAAGATATATTCCCTTTACAACTGTGTTACTAATTTAGTAATTTAGTAATTCAGTAATTCACTTAACAACTGTGGAAAGAAAAGTCATAAAAAGGGCAAATCTCACTTAACTCTCGGTTAGCAACATAAATTTTGAGCTCAACTGTACTTGTAAGTCCAGGACTACCTGTACATTCATCTACAGCTGACTACACTAGCAATGAAGCCCAAGTGTTGTACCCCAACACATCTGACCAGAGGATACAGGATTCAGGAAAACTGAAAAAAATCATTCAAAGCTTAAATATAGTGTTTGTTGTCATCTTATTCAACATATCCAACTTCAAACTTACAGTAAATCTTATCTTCTTCTCTTTTATACTGGAACAGGCTTCCAGTGTTCATAGCATTACACTAGGTTAGATTATCTAGACTGTTTAAAAAAAATAAACATTATACTTTACAAAACTCATCTTCATGTAAATGATTGACTTAAAATCTATCATTTCAGATCTTAAACATATGAGATGTCCAATGACACTCTGTAGAATTTACATCTATGCTGCCAATTTATTTGAAGTTAAAAGGCATTTATATTAGAACCAGTTGTCAGAACTAAGACAGCTGCTTTTGAAATGCATTTTATCCAAGACAATACGAGTTTAAATAAATGTAAATACTGAATCAGAAGACAAACATCCAGGTTGCCAATACAACAATGCAGGGACTGACTTACAATATTTGGTAATAGTATGTAATAAGCACAAGATAGCGCATCATAGGGCAAAACAATTTTTTAACAGTACAGGGTCACAGTAACCCCATGAAAAGGGCAAAAGTGAGCAGGAAATGCATATAACTAGGAAAAATATATCAGATCAGACATCGTTTTCAATACTCAGCACAGGTGCTCAATTTCATGAACAATTTTTAATTGTAATTGTTCCTTTCCCCATACAAATTCAGAGTTCAATATGCAGTATATTTCTACTAATATATTTTGATTAGGAAAACAGTTGCCCACTGAACAAAAAAGTTAATTCACAGTAGGCGATGTGGTACAGAGTGGATACTAGTCCTCAGCTAATCCCAGAAAAAAAAAGTGCAACACCATGTCAAGGTCAAAAAGTCACAGATAGCAATGGCAGATGCTCCTATGTGAAGGTACAACTGTTAACCAACTACGAAGTTGTATTACTGGCTGGAAAGCGTATTACTTATAGGGACTTAATAGTTTGAAATCTCTCTTGCACAATCCACCTTATTTCATATAGAAGAAAACCTACATCACGGATCTTTCCTCTATATTTATTTCTCAGTACAATTCCACAGCCAGAAAAACAGCCAAAACAGCTTCCCTACTACAACAGGAAACAACATTATTTCCAGTGTGCTGTCTCCTCCTTACACTTACCTGCGGCATCTCTAACCAGAAGCACAGGTCTTTGCAGAAATGTTGCCTGCTCAACAGGAAGTCCATCATCTACCACTTATACGCTTGTGTTTATTATTCATCTCCCAAAATCAAATCCAGCATCCTTTTCTATGACAAGCAACCTTAAGGGCCTGCACTGGGAAATACTTTCCCCATTGCCTTTAAACACATATGTAAACCAGCACTGAAACAAATGGTAGCTTACTACTAAATAAACAGGATTGCCCCTACTTTTCTTTGGGAGAAAAACAAATAAGGTCGGGTCTATCCATAGTTTATTTAGCAGTGTGTGCAAACAGGATTTCTGATTTATTTATTGTAAGTTGAGAACAAACATATTTAATTATAAGTGGAGAACAAACATAACCTTTTAGCTTACCTTGAAATCTGAATAGGGCTGCTGGATCTGGAATCTCTTACTCCTTGTTCAGAAAGTAAGGAGTGGCAAGGGTTGTTTTCTCTATGTCTATTTCAGCACATTCTGTATCTCAATATTTTGTAATCTGTATTATTCCAATATGGAATTTATGTTGCATTAGGCATTAATAGCATAGCCATATTATTTTAACAGTGAAACACACTTAACTAGTTATTTTAAAAATGATGTCTTGTAAGAATTGGACAAAATAAATCAGTGCACTTCAGCAGGGAAATTCAAGAAGGTAACACATAAGAGTCACACTGTGAAAATAATTTGAAAGAAGCACTTTGGACTTACAAGCCTACAAGCCTAGCACCTTCCAGTTATTTATGAAAGTGGTCTCATCTTTTTTCAAGCTCCCAAAGATTTCTTCAAAATATTTACGTATCATAATATCAACCAAACAATAATCTATTGTATGTCCAATCCTAAAAGTATTTTCTCTTAAATCAATTGAAAATACTACATATTTAGAAGTTGCAAAACATATTAATTTCTGTACTATACTAAACCTTTTTTTTGCTGCCCTCCTTGAAAAGGAATATTCTCAGAATCACAGTTCCCACATTTGTATATTTACATTTTCTGCCCTTTAAATATTACAGCCTCACGGTCAATACAATGAGAAAATGCTGGGTCTCATTTTCGGAGAACCAAAGTGCAGAAATATTTATTTTTACTCAACCTTTAAACATCTGGTGACACTTCCACTCACTGAAGTCTAGGGGAAATTTAGAAATTTGCCTTAGCACCCTTCCACACAAGGGCTCTGCGGTCAAAATCTTGTATCTAAACCATCATCAGCTGGTTTGCTGACTTAATTGTCCTCAATTATTTAAGTTCCATTACCTCAGTAGGCCTACTCTAATTAGTATTAAATCTGGGTCTAATCCAATGCAGCTATTAATCACTAAGGTCCCATATATTAACATAAAATCTCATTTATAGATTGATACAGTACTTCTTATTCCTGTTAGTCTAATATTAAACAAATTATACTTCAGTTTAAAGCCCTGCTCATCCTGCATCATTCACTATTAATTTTTGACTAATGAAAGCATTTGATAGCACACTTGAGTGATTGCCTGTAATGCAACTGCTTTGCAGAAAAACGGGGCAAACAAACATTTGCATGATTGTGCCTCCTAAGAGTATCTCTATATTAAATGTGGCACTTAGGCCACACTTTTAACCCCCTGCGGTTGATGTAAAGCAGCCACATTGTTAAATTACATAAACACAGTTCTTCCTAAAGCTGAATCTCCTTTTGAAAAACGTAAATTAAAATACATTTTACGCTTGTTAAGCTCTTTGAATAATATACTAAATATTGATTTTCCAGAAGAATTTTTTTACTGCTTTACTCAGACTACTTTAGAGGTATTTAATTATAAAAGGTCATTTGCCTCACAGCTGTGCATGATTAAACCTGTATGAATATGCATCAAGCTTCTGTACTATGAAAAGAGTTACATGCTGAACCTCAGTATATTTTGTACTTTATTTTGTTCCTACTGGGACCTTAGATTGCAATACTAAGGGACATTTAGCAGGTTACAAAAGCAGGCTGAAACAAATCCATTGAAGCACCAATTGGCAGCAAAGAGACAGATAAGATGTTTATCCTTTACTGCCATCTAGTAGCTGACAAGATGTTTGCACTCCAGATTTAAGTAGTTCTAAATATTAGTATAAATCAGATTAACTTGGATTAGCATATATTTTAAAATGCCATGTTCACTTGTGCCACATCAATGTCACTTCTTTTCATTTCCAAGCAGGGAAAATAAGACTAAAATGTTTTTACTTGTATTCTATCTCCTTAAGCAATTGTAGAAATAGTTAAACTTTAAAAAAAACACTTCTGTATCTTAATACTCCTCAGCATCTATGGTATTCTAACTGAATCTGTTCAGCAGCTGAATTCAAATTGTGCTAAACCAGTTTATTTAACCAGCTTGTTGAACAAACCATAATTAACTAACTTGACACAACACACTAAGCCATAAATCACAATTTAGTAAGAGCTAAAACCACAAAAACAAGCAGGTAATAGCTTATGTGAATCCTGCCATAGATAGCTTAAGGTTCTAAATAACAAATGTACCTTAAAGCAAATGTTGAGACAGCCCTTTGCTCCAATTCAACCAATTGCCAAGTTCTAGGTATTAAATACTATATGTTGTTACCCAAAAATATTTTTCAGGCTACTTAATAGATTTCCAGCAGTAAATGCTGAATAGTTTTTTACATTAGCAGTCATGATTTAGTTAATAAGGAATTTCTTAGAACAGCTATATGAATTTTGAATTGGGGCTTATTTGTGCTACTGAGCTTATTTCTAAACACAATTAGGAATGAAACTGAAAAAGATTCTGCCAGAATTGTTTATACTAATTTAAATAGGCTTTAGCTTCTTTTGCATTAGTTTCAGGCTACACCATTTGTGCATTACATGGAGATGGTTTAGCTATTTAATTCCTGTTTATGATAAATGATATTTTATTATATGGTAATAACTTTAGAAAAACACCTAACATTTAAAATTATACTCTCTCAGAAGTTTCTATAACAAGTTCCCATATCTCAGTTCCTGAAGTTCATTCAACAGCCTTAAATAAAAACACGTTAGAACAATATCCTAATTATCAATTCCAGGTTTTAATCCTTCCTGATCCTTTCCAAATTTCTCCCCCTGGTTTCATTTTAGACTTAGGACCTCAACCCAACCATTTCCCAACAACACTGCTGTACATCACAAAGCCACTTGCCCAACAATAAAACACCAGAAAGGGAACTGCTTTTCAGAACTTCATTTACCTCGATCAGGCTTCATTTTCACGCCAATCTTTTCTTCCCGTTCTCGGGGTCCCAGCCAAAGAAGAAGAAAAAAGAGAGAGAGAGAGTCCTTCGGCTTCACCAGCTGTTTTTTCTTCCTTCCGCCCTGATGTGGCTTCTCACCACCAGATCCCTCCTGTTTTCGGCCTCTTTCCCAGGGGAGGTCGGACTCCCCAAAAGAAGAGGGGGGAGGAAATCCAGCTTTTTTCTTCTTCTTCTTCTTCTTCTTCCCCCTTGGCGGCTTACAAAAATCGGTAGCGTCCAGGCCTCCTCCTCCTCCTCCTCCTGGCATTCATTGTGTGGTGGCAACAGCAGTTGGATGGAGAGGGAGAAGCTAAAGGCAGGCAGGCAGGCAGTCTGTTTGTCTGTCTCTCTCTCTCTCTCTCGGTGGAACTTGCTTGCCTTCCTTGCCAAGGTGTCCTCCTTTGACACGGCGTCTGAACCGATCTATTTATAAACCTGCCGGGGCAAAAGCTTAAGCCAAAAAAAGCTCCCCCCCCCCCCACCCACTCCCACGCTCCTCTTTGCACGCGCACGCACACCCCGATCCAAGGCGCCCAGAGCCTTCGGGGCAGTGTCACCCCAGCCTGGCGTCCATGGCGTTTTACCTGTTCTACCGCCCGCCCGCCCGCCGGGAGGAGGCCTCCCAAGCGCCGACCTCCTCCTCCTCCTCCTCCGGAGTCCCTGACTCGCGTCTAGCCTAAACCATCCTTTTTCATAAAACGGGGCCGTCTAAGCAAGAGCGGCGGCTCGTCATCAAAGGCGATGGGGAGGGGGGGGGCGGCGGCGGGGGGAGGGCGCAGCTCCCGGAGAAACACGACGCCGGACCTGGCCGAGTCGCCGCGCTTAATCCCGGCAGGAGGAGGGGAAACACCTCTCCACCCACCCCACCCCCAAGCCCGTGTCCGGACGCCACGCCACGCGACCCCGAGCAAAGCCACCCACGTCTGAACGGAGCGCAGGGAGGGAGGGGGGGGGGGGGGGACAGCGGGGCGGGGGGGGGGGGGGGGGAGGGCGTCTCCGGCGCCCCCCCCCCCTCGTCGAGGGGCCCGAGGAAAGAGTGACCCCCGCCCCCCCCTCAGAGATCGGCTCGGCTCGGCGTCCTTTTCTCCCCCCCCTCTCGCCGCCGCCCCCCTCCCCAGCCGCGGCTTCTTTTGCCCTCCCGGGAGGCGTCACAGCCTCATCGCGCTTCGCCGCCCGCCTCTTGCTTCTCCCGCTCGGCGGCAGCGGCGGAGTCTTTCCCTCGAGCGAAAGGAGGCTGCGGAGGCTGCCTCCGTCCCCGTCAGGAGCCGCGCTGAGGGGCTTCAGCCGCAGCGCGACGCCGCCCGCCCGGCTGAGGGAGCTCCCGAGGCGGCCGCAGGGGGTTCGCCATGGCTCCGACGGGCCCTCCTCCTCCTCCCCCTCCCCCACTTCGCAGCGCCTGACTGACTAACTCTCCTCCCGTCCCGGCGCGCTCCGGCCTTTCCCCGCCCCGCCGACCCGGCGGCGGTCGGCCCAGGGTCTATGGGGCCGCCTCGCATGCAGCGCCGCCGAGCCCCGAGCCCAGCGTAGCCCCGCCGCCCGCCATCCCGCCGCCACCACCACACCCCCCCCCACCGCCCCCGCTT